GTGGTAAACGAAATAATAATTTGATCTAAGTAAGAGTTTTTTATTTTCCCGATTTAGTAAAAAATCCTTACGTGATAGAAAAAAAATAATAATATTATTTTCAAAATCTACGTAGCTGAATTATGGAAAATCTGTTATTAAAACCAAAACAACTTTTATCAAGTTGAAATTCGCAGGCCTGTGTTATCATTTAATTATCCAATTTTCTGTTGGTATTAGTCGATATTCCAAGATATATAACTTTGTGGAAGTGGATAAAAAAATATAAGTTAAAAACTATCCGTGCTCTGCCCACCACGGGTATCGAAACCCGGATTCATACCGCTGTGCCACTGGGGGCATTACAAATTATAACTTTATTTCTCCCAAGTTACACGTCAAAGTTTGTACAGGGAAAGAAAATATTCATTTAATTTCATTATTTAGCAATAATTTAGTGAATAATTCTTAACAGATTTTTATCTCCATTTCAAAAGAATCGAACAAATACGTGTAATGGTATTAACGAAACAACTGTACCCAACAATGTAATGGTCAGTGTCAAAAAGCTTTTCTATATATAAATATATATATATTGAAGAAACAAGTGGCTCAATGTCTGAGTAAAAGAAATAACTAGAACATGTTAAGTAAACAAAATGTGGTGAATATTCAGATTTAAGAAAGTTTTATCTCTATCGATCAGCGTTTTAATTCTGGAGTAGCGGTAAATAAGTCTAAGAACAAATTAAAACCTCTTTTACTTATAAAACTGAATAGCTTTCAAATCTAACAACTCTATAAAGAAATCACGTTCATTCGAATATAAACAAAATTTATTAAAAAAAGGTCTTACTTCTTCTCCAAGTTCCTTCATTATCATTGTTATACAGTCATTGGCTGTCTGAGTGTTCGTCACTTTAATAGGCTTGTACTGAAAAATGGTTGTATATGTTAATATGACATCATAGTCAGTTGAAAACTTTGTCACTGGTGGTCATTGTTTGCTTTCAACCGAAAGTCTGACTGAATAAAACTGACTGTAGATCAACTTTTTTTGCACACTTACGTTTGTCTAACAGTCAGGATAAAAAAAAAGTTGGACTTCAGCCAAATCCACCTACAAAGAACCCTCGTTAAAAGCAAACAAAGAACCACCTATTGATTTAACAATTCCATAAAAGAAAGTTTTCACATAATAAAGTACTGATATTCATGAATAATACTAGTAAAATGTAATATTATTTTTCGCTAAAACCTTGTAATTTCTCAAACTTTATCGCATGTACTTAACAGTTAGTTGCTGTTTTGGTAAATGCTGCAAGTGTCTGTAACAGACCATACAACGGCAATTAGTTCCATACAATTTCATGCCCTCTTTTTTTTATTATTGAAAAACCCCTAGTTCCCTATTTTGGGGGAGAAGAAGAGATCAGGTTGATCGTTTGTTACAGAAACTATTAGTGATAATCTGGCTAACCAGAGAAGGATTCTGCAAGTTTTTTGCACTGAGAGACCTTGGTATGTGTATTATATATGTGAAAATATAACCAACACGAACTCTTAGATGAAAACATCTTTAATTACTACATATTTTTAATAAAATGTCGTTACACCCTGTTACCCTAGTCTATTATTATGCCCCATTTTTCCCTCGATGTGCCGTTGGAAAGTCTGTTGAGTGAAAAATAATTATATTCAAATCTTTGTAAATTTCAATTTACATAAGATTAAATTTAGATATACAAGAAAATATGATGAAAGTAATTGCGGAGAAAACAGCATACATGATTTAAAAGTCACAAACTATAACTGAAATATTTTCTCGTTACTGCTATTATCTAGGACCTGTGTCTCATCATAGTGGTCGATACGATACAGAAGTTTTACTGACGGTTTTTTACAAAGTTTGAGAGTCTTGTCTGTAAGTTATTATCTGTATCACTAACATTGTCTTATTTAAGTACTTCACACTTTACAGTGCTTTTTCAAATTATCAGGTTTGATCAACCGAATGACAGTTGGCAAGAGAAGTGAAATAACATAAAAAGTTTATATCTGTCTGTCTATTTTGTTACATTACTTTGCATGTAATATTTTTGATAAAAGAAGTGAAGACAACATGTAGTACTCAATACTCATCTTCCTTTATTCAGTCATTAATTTTTAGCAAAAATACTTTATTAGAAATTCTGATATTTTTCTTTACAAAAGACTTGTAATGTTTACTGAAAACCTGCCAAATTTCGTGAAGATACATAAATCATATCGTATCGGACGATGTATCGAAACAATCGTATCATTTTTATAAATTTGCGCAATACAGTAGTAGCCTTAAATACTTCAACATTGCAACAAAGTTTACATTACATGTCAAATCTTATTGTATAATTCGCATGTTAGTCATATGTGGGACAAATGGTTGTACCCTACATAAGCATCCTGGAGGTACGTTGTACGCAGTGGTCGAAAGTGGGAATGGCTGATCCAAGTTATTTAACGTGTGTGTGGGGGGGGTATTTCAAAACTTATGAAACTTGAAACCATCGTTATGTGGACTCAGTAAATAATCAGTTCTTTCTGTAAAATCCACTTTTAAATGGTAATAAACCAGAACTGAAAATAAACATTTTAAACTCAAAAGGGTTTCAGTGTCTCTACTTTCATAAATGGTTACTTTTAAGATTTCACAATACTGTCAACAGATGGCAATAACGTTTTTTTTTCTTAACTCTCAAAATCATACTTACAAAATCTTTTTTTGCTTCCTGGTTCCAGTATGACACTTTAAGTGTAGCGACTCCCGTTTCAGATTTTTTCACTTTGTTTATAATCCTGGAAAAATAAGCTTTTATTACGCAAAAATGTCCTGTTTTCATTGTGCGCCTTAAACTAGAAAACAAAGCATGTATCTTTAGCTGTTTCACAACACGAGTGAACTAATTTTCTATATAATTTGGCTGTAATAACACCCAACAAACCCGACCGTATTACCCTCCTCATGGATTTTAAAATCCATGAGGAGGGTAATACGGTCGGGTTTTGTTGGGTGTTATTACAGCCAAATTATATAGAAAATATTTTGTTCTTAATTGAATCAAAACTTCTTAAATATCATCGTAATTATTCTTATTTTACTTGGTTTGTTATTTCATGCAATTATATAAATAACCAGCCTGATTACCTATAAGCGCGAATAATTATATATCATAAAACAAAATACATTCATATATTCATATACAGGGCTCTTTATCTTAGTGAGTTACCTATGATACATAATTGGTAAGAATGGTTTGATTCCAGAACAGTTAATTTCCTCAAGACGTTATTCTTGTTAAAAACACATTACAAGTGTTCAAAATATCTGTAACTATAGTTATGTTAGTACTGTTTTTGAACTTTAAGTGTGTATTTTGTTTTCATCAAAGATATACACACAATACTTATTCAACTTTAACATATATTTTACCTTCAGGGGAAGTTTTAATAATGATTAAAAAGTATGTACTTAAAGAAACTTCAAAGATATTATATATTTTATAAACATGATTTATAAATATTTTTCAGTTATTACTTCAAGGTAGCCAATTTCACACACACACAAAAAAAGACTTACTGTGTCAAATTGGAATGCCATAAATCTTTCATCTCAGGAGAGCTTTAGAAAAATCAAAAATATTAAAAATTAAAAAAACAAAACAATAACAGTTGACATTTATCACTTTTGTCACTGTTCCATGAAAACTTGAGTTTAATAATAGCAAACGAAGTCTTAACGTCAAGAAAACTTCAGACGTGTATGCTGATACACTACAGTAGCGCTATCTACAGGTAAGTTACTGTACCAAAACAGAGGAAATTTACACGTACTTTATGGGCGCTGATTGAGCGAAAAGTTCGTTGAATATATAGGCAAGATCATTTTTTAATACTGTGAATGAGGTCTTTAACAAGATAAGAATATAAAAAAATCGAGTAAATAATTAACGGTACAGAGTGCACTTGTTAACGTAATTCAGTTTAAATATTTACAACATACTCATCCGAAACAAAGCAGACTTAAAGGTTACCCAAGTAAACTACTAGTTTTGGTCAGATCTGTTTATCGAAATTACAATACAAACACGTGTTTCTTAAATGTCTTGTGAAATACCATGTCATTCAACACGCTGTGGTAGAGAAGGTATATTTTAATTGAAAATAGGGTAAACTGTTTAATTACTTATAAATATCAGCTATTTCGCATTGTTCTTGATTTAAGCAAACTCACAACTAAATACATTTAAAACGCAAACGTTAATTTCTTCGCAATTGGATGTTATATTGTTTAGGTTATCTGCTCGTACGATAAAAGTCTACAACATTAAAAAATCTTTCTAATTTATGGTCGTACTTCTAATATCTAAGCCTAACCCTGTAAAATGGCTAGAAATATCATTAATAATAAAGTAAGACTATTACTGTATTTGATTGGGTGTATACCTAAACGTTGCCACGACATTGGTGGTTGGCCAGCCCAAAACGAACGACGTATCAGAAGTTCGAGACGACTCGCAAACATCGGCTAAACATGTTGACAACCACAGCTCACACAACAGGAGTTTTTCTTTCAATTTGTACGAATGGGAAGACCTGTAGAATGAGAAATTAATTTGTAAAACTTTTATAATGTATGCTCTTACATAACTGTTCTCCATGTGGGAAAATATCACGGAATGCAGGAGTTAACAAACGTTTGAAATCCATCAGTTCCTGCCAGTTTTTTTTCTTCATGAGCACACATCAATAGAGCCACTGAATAGCTTTAATAAAAGGATAATCTCAGCACAATGACGTAATTCTTAAGTCAAAAAGCAGAAAAGCCATAAACAACAGTAAATTCTTAAACTCTATTTTTTTTCTTAATCAATTCAGTGACACAAGAAAAGTTTTTCGAATCTTTTATTAATATTATTTTATTCATAACTGAACTAACATATTACTCCATTAGGCCATTTAGCCTATTTTTCATTGAAATTTGCGTCTGGAACATTTTAACTGGCATAATGACTAAATACTCTTTTCAGCTTGTTTGAAGATTGTCTATTTCAAATTATGTTTAAAGAAATATGTACAAAAACGTTATTTTTTCCTTATAATAGGTGAAGAACCTTGGTGTATTGCAGAGCGTATTTCACTAATAATAATTCAAAGATCATTAAAATGTGTGATACCTTATCCATGACAATCCCAAACATTATTATAACGTCAGCCATCCCCTCCTTAGTTCATTTTTATGCAAAGCAGGGGCTGTAGTGATCCGTCATATGACCTGAGATGTAACTTATTGGTCAGTCAGCCTACGCTCGCAAAAAAATAATTAGTAGGGGTGGATTAACCTCTTTACAGTCCCTGACAATTTACTTCAATATGGTAACGAACAGGAGTGGTAGTCTGGCACTTGTGGTTCATGCTTAAAATAAAGATTTCGACCAATTCTCTGAAAGAGTTGTTTTCTGGACATATTTTATGTTTAGAGCCGCTTTAAGGGGAGCAGCGCGTCTTTAAAAAGGACCCCGTACATGCTTGATGGGACCGAAGTTCGGTTAATCCCCTCTTCTGGAATGTGTCGACCAGTTCAGTATGGTGGAGGCGGTTATGATCATTCATCAGACTGAAGTCAGTGCTAATATCCCCAGCATATAGCATCACAAATGATCTTACGATGTGGCCTTTATACTATGTGGCGTTAATGATGCTTTAACACAGGATGTAGAGGTCGGATCGCACAAAAATGCTTATTTCACACCATATTTCTACCACCACCTTCACATACCCTGGAATGGATCCGGCTCCAGATTTTCTCCAAAAGAATATACGCTTGTTATCTGGCTAGAGAATAATTCGCAACTTACCTGTAAAAATACTACTACTCCATTTCACATTGGCTCATTTAACATATTCTTAGCGCCACAGCAGGCAAGCAATACTGTGCTTTACTGTGAGCAGAATGTACCTCATTGGGAGCCTAACATGGAGATCAGCCTTACGAAGTCTCTAACCATCTGTGATCTTATACAGTGTACAGTTGCGGTTACGAATATAATATACAGTCTCGGGCAGGTATCTTATGATTATAATAAATTGAAGTCTACAAATAGCAGTCACATGCTTGTGTTATGAATAATGGTCTGCCTTGTTCAAGTGTCTGGGGAACTGTACTATTGGTTTGGAAGCAATCCCACATTCTGCTAAGAACACTTTGAGACTTGTAGCCAACCCGCAACAGCCTGCGTTGATTCATAAACAGTTGGAAACACTTCAAATTCAATTATTTTAATTCAAAGTGACAAACGAGAAAAGAGTTTGCGAAACCACAACATATCATAGGCCGAGTGTGTGCTTGATATAATTTAATATATTATGTGTTTTTGTTTTATCAAAGCTTTATTGCAAGTTCTGATTATATTAAAGGATAATTGGTTATATGTATATATATAATTATATATGTATATATATGTAAATATATGGCAACAATATATGTATTTATTCTTTACCTAACGTTCACGTTTATCGCAATTCTAAAAAAAATATAATGAACAAAAAAAGCTCCATTTTGTCTTGAAAGTTTTATATATATTTAACAGTTGCATCACAAAAGTGTTCTGAATCGGACTTCAAATTATTTTTCTAATTGTGTAAAACTAGAAACATGAAGCAAAACGTCTTAATGGTTTAAAGTCAGGGATCAGAGTGAATAAAATAATGTTTTGCTTTAAGAATTTTTAAGATTCCTAAAATGTGATAACTGCAGTTTAAAGCTTTTTGTTTTCTGGAGAAAAGATCTTTTAGATAAATGTGCCATGTGCTCTAAGAGATCCTCTTTTATATTTTTAAAGGAATGATTGTATCAATAAATAGTTTAGTGTTTTTACCTTGGCTTGAAAAATAGTATAGTGTTTTACCTTGGCTTGGAAAATAATATAGTGTTTTACCTTGGCTTGGAAAATAATATAGTGTTTTACCTTGGCTTGGAAAATAATATAGTGTTTTACCTTGGCTTGGAAAATAGTATAGTGTTTTACCTTGACTTGGAAAATAGTACATTGTTTTTACCTTGGCTTGAAAAATAGTATAGTGTTTTTACCTTGGCTTGAAAAATAGTATAGTGTTTTACCTTGGCTTGGCTATCAACAATATATCGTTGAACAGAAACATGTGTCTTTCTTGCTTCTGGACACCCTGGAAAATAAAGAGAACAAATAATGAAAAATCTGTTTATGATAAACATTAGTTAAATCTTTCGCACATTTGAGATGTTCAGAAGAACACAAGTAAAAACAATCAAATCAATGTAACAGAAGATCACTGAGTCCAACCGTTCAACAAGTTAGCTCTCACAAATTTTTAAGGCCTTATTGGTACGTTTTTCAATCTTCAGGTCATTTGACTTCAAAAAGAAAAGCTTTACACAAAAACAGGTGGAACTTTATCAGATACTCATTAACAGCTTTCCAACAAACAATACAGTAGGCATTTATCTGTATACCAAGATTGTGAATTTCGGCGAGGAGGAAATGTTAGGCCCAGTTTATTCTTCAATTTGCCACTTAGTACTGAATTATGTCGGTTGCAGGGGAATCTATTCCTCATCATTACTTCTGTAGTGATGATCTATAATTATATCGGTTGCAGGGGAATCTATTCCTCATCATTACCTCTGTAGTGATGATCTGTAATTATGTCGCTTGCAGGGGAATCTATTCCTCATCATTACCTCTGTAGTGATGATCTGTAATTATGTCGCTTGCAGGGGAATCTATTCCTCATCATTACTTCTGTAGTGATGATCTGTAATTATGTCGGTGGCAAGGGAATATATTCCTCATCATTACCTCTGTAGTGATGATCTGTAATTATGTCGCTTTTAGGGGAATCTATTCCTCATCATTACATCTGTAGTGATGATCTGTAATTATGTCGGTTGCAGGGGAATCTATTCCTCATCATTACCTCTGTAGTGATGATCTGTAATTATGTCGGTTGCAGGGGAATCTATTCCTCATCATTACTTCTATAGTGATGATCTGTAATTATATCGATTGCAGGGGAATCTATTCCTCATCATTACCTCTGTAGTGGTGATCTGTAATTCATGTGTACGTGTCTTTTACCAAACACAAGTAATCAGTTTTAACGATAACTTACAGTGTTGGAAAGCTGTCGCAACTCTTTAATTTGAAGTACATACATTACTTTCTAATGTCTCAAACATATTACATGTATTAACTGCTACATTAAATTGATTATCTACATGATACATCATTTGAACATTTGCTAATATCCGAGTGGTAGGTTGATTTGTAAATTTATTTTCCGACCATTTAATTTTAGATATTTGAACGGCTTAAAACATAACTCGATGAATTGGGTTTTCATTTAGAAAGATTTTTTGGTTTAGAATTTTCATGCAAAGCAACACAAGGACTATCTGCGCGTGGCCGTCCCTTATTATGAATTTAAAAGGCAGGGGGAAAGATAGCTCTTGTCTGACCAAATGGATTTGACTGTCACTCTTATAACACATGTATTTCCCAAAAGTGCTGAGTGCATTTCTGCGGTAACGGGACATAAACCATGAACTTTCGGATTTAAAACGTGGGTGTGTTACCTCTTGGGTCATGCCTAGTCCCGTTTTAAGAAGATGTAAGGTAAGCACACATATAAAGGTTGTTAATAATACACAACTCTTTTCGTGCATAGATTGTACATAAATATACAAGGGTGCTGCATTTATTAACAATGTCCATCTGAAATGTTTGTACTATGGTTGATTCTTCAGCTTGCTACATAAATGTCTAGGTTAATTTTATTGTGGGAACTTGGATGTATTAAATAAAACAAAGACTCCCTGGTCTAAGCCCAAAATGTTTATAAAGTAAACATTCGTTTTCCATCTGATCATGAAGATGAGAGGTTGTTCCTATTCTTGAAGAATGTGAAATTGTTCTGTAACTGTACCAAGTTTATCCACATTCATTTTTACAACTCTCAATACACCCTCTAGTAACGAAAAGAAGAACTACAACAGAATAAATGAACAAAGATCGACATGGTATTCGAAACTAGAGAAACTTAAAAGACAACAAACAGTACCAAGCACTGGTAGAAAGGAATTCAATAGTGTAAATACACGTACATTGTGTTCATATAAAATCATAAGCTTAATAAAAGAATTTCAATTCATTCAATTCTCGACTAGCTAAGGTATGAAAATTGGTCCGAACGAAAAACTCTCACGGTTTTAACGTGTTCCTAATATGTCGTGTTTCAACACTAAAACACGAAATGCTACAAATCACAGTAACGAAGTCAGTTTAAAACAATTTATTTACAAGAAAACATCCCTCCCCCACAGTGACACAGCGGTATGTGTGCGGACTTACGATGCCAGAAACCGGGTTTCGATACCCGTGGTGAGAAGAGCACAGATAGCCAATCGTGTATCTTTGTGCTTAACTACAAACCAAGTAAAAATCAGTACTCTTTTGCTCAAAAGTGTTATATTTGATCTATATACGTAGTTAAATATTGAGATTCTTCAAAATTTCCTATAAAGTCTGTAAAAGAAAAATTAATAAGGTTTTTGTAATAAGAAATAATAAGCTTTTCAACAATAAACGCCGAGGTTTTGTAGCCAGCTGATAATAACACGTTAACTTGCTGAAACGTCGTTTTTTTAACTTTAATCACTTCCCCCTGTTTTTAACCATTTGTTATCAGAGTCGAATATGATGGGATAATTCATTTTAAATTACGTATATCAGATATGGTAGAAACAAACGTAACTGGAAAACAAGATAATCGAACAGTGACGTGCTATTCTAAGTCATTTCTCACGAGGTAGAATGAAAAACGGAGAAGGTATTGGAACATGTGACCTTGATAATTAGGCAGGTTTTTTTTTTTTTTACACGATGTAAACCCTCTGCACACACCATTGTTAGGTTGGTAATATATAAGACTCATGCCAAAAGAAATTTGGTGTCCAGAATTAGTCCATTATACCTCAGAATAAGATATTTAAAATTAGTTTGTTTGTTTGTTTTTAATTTCGCGCAAAGCTATACGAGGGCTATCTGCGCTAGCCGTCCCTAATTTAGCAGTGAAATACTAGAGGGAAGGCAGCTAGTCATCACCACTCTTGGGCTACTCTTTTACCAACGAATAGTGGGATTGACCGTCACATTATAACGCCCCCACGGCTGAAAGGGCGAGCATGTTTGGTGTGGCGGGGATTCGAACCCGCGACCCTCAGATTGCGAGTCGAGTGCCGTAACCACCTGGCCATACAAGAACTAACGGAATAAAGTTTACATTGGAACACGAGATTAGAATAAACAATGTCTTTGACATCACCATCACTTTGTGGCATTTGGGTAAACTGATATCCAACAGTTTGCCAAAAGTATCCACAAAACGCACGTTCCGGAAGTGTTATACAGAAAACAAATCGAACATGGATATCACAGGGAAAACAAGCATAAGTGAACGAATAAACAAAATATTTTATTAACAAAAACAGCGTTGTTTACCAACCGGCCGGATTCATATTATTTGTACTCAAACTGGTTGTTTGGACTAGAGCGACTTTAAAGACTTTACAAAATATTTACACCAAACAAGGACAACGAGGTACGATGCTGCACTTTAAAATCAAAGGTTCCAAGTGTGAAATCACATAATCATTTGGTTACCTACTTCACCAACAATTCAAAATAAATCATTTAAGGTCTGTGTCACCTCTTAAGATGGGCTTGCCACATTCTAAGGAGTGGACACAGACACAGGGGCAAACTGGTCTAAGCTTTTATGAGATAGCCGTTTGCCAAAGGATTAGTACATGGTTACGACCCTTCGAACACCTGAATATATCTGATTAAAATGTGTATTGTAAGCTAGTTATGGGTGGGTCAAATTAACAGTTATTTCAACTTCAACAATTTTACATGAACCAGCGATACATAGTCAAGTCTACCAGGATGCGATGAATTAATTAATTTCTTTAACAGCAGTATCAATTTACAGCAAAGAGGCTAACTCCGGAAGTTTCTATCAAAGAAACTTACTTTAGAAATTAGTGATATTATATGTTTGCACCGCCTATTAACAAACACTACAACTGGTTGAACGATGCTGTCAAGAGTGATGATTTTCGATAAAAAGGTTGAGCTCAAAATCAAGAAACTGTAAATCAAAGAACGATTACACAGTATGTCTAAGGTTTAGATGCTAAACACAAACACTGAACCGAAATGGAAAATAATCGTTTCAGGTATATTTATCCCAACTTTTTGCTTCTAATTCTATATCAACCAAAAACAAACAAACAATATTTTAATTGGCGGTACAGTTTTATAAGTACATACGACTTAATCATATGAACACACACGCACACAAAAGAAAAAGCTTGAATAACTAAATGTTAGTCAGCTATCGTGCCCCACACCCTTATCTTGTTCGAAGGGTAAAGCTGAACCCCGTGACTGGAATTTATTGTAAAAAGTCGCGAATAAGTTGATTCTATTGATTTGACAGCTGTACTAAGATCGGAGAGTGGGTGTTTTGTTATAGCAAAGCCACATCTGGCTATCTGCTGTGTTCAGCGAGGGGAATCGAACCCCTGATTTCAGCGTTGTAAAGATTGGATAAAAAGCTGGCGACCTGTTCGGAGGAGATTTGATAATTCTATGCTGTTTGAAAAAAACTAAACATACAAATAAACACTGGGCCTTCATTTGGTGCACCAACATAAAAAGTGTTTACATAAGATACAATAAATATTTTCTCACGTGCAAAATAGTGACCCCCCCAAAAAAAAAACAACAACAACAACAAATGTGAATATGATCAAGATAGAGAAAAATTACAATTTTTTATTTCAACAAATCTTATATGTCCATAATCAACAAGAGACCTGGGTGTGAAATCAACAAGAGATCTAGGTGTGAAATAACCAATTCTCTCTCGTTCGAAAATGAAGTGGTATGCAGAGTTTTATTAAAACAACTTACACATTTCGGATTTCGTTGTTCTATCACTTCAGCATACAGCCAACTTATTTATGTTAGCAGTGCCTTTTAACACTATGAGCCAATCATGTTTTTCGTACGACTTCCCGTGATGTGAGATGTTCTCTGCTTTCAATGTTTGAATATCAGTTTGTTGATAAAAGTAGGGCGTGAGGAGACCCAGTACATGGGAAAAAATAAATTTTTAAAAATTTAAATTTTACTTAAATTAAAATTAAGTAGTTAACTAATATATATATATATATATATATATATATATATACACACACACATGATAACAGCACAATCAAAAAGCACAGTATTAATCAATATATAGTAAAAGACCCTCTACAGATACACAATCTTCTTCATTCTTACCCTAATTCTATTTGTAAATAATTTAAATAAAATTTATAATAATTACAATTGATTTCACACCATAACAGTTGTTGTTGCTCATGAAACTGATGATATATTATCAGTGCCACTACTGTGTTTGTCATATGAGCTTTGGTATTGAGCGAAAGGCAATGTCGTCACTGAATATTTAGAGTAGTTCACATATTATTATATATTCTTATTTGCTTTTACTCATAAGTTCTTAGAATTAGTATACATACCATGGTGAAAAGTACAGGGCTTTCCATAATAAAGGTTCGAGTACAGGACTTGTTCCTGAGAGGTCCATTGGGCCTTCTTTGACTAGGTTTCCTGTGAAAATACACACATTTTTGTTAATACTTTATCAAATATAGAAAAGTTACATGTGGTTATATACATAAATATATAATAAAGTGTTGACGCCGAACTTTCATTTATTTGTTGTTATTCAAGCTCAAAGCTATACAATCGGCTATCTGAGTCGTATCGACCAAATTTTAGCGTCATAAGCTCATCCACATGGGGGGGGAGTAATAACTGTATAAACATTAAGCGTTTTGAAGAAAACATATTTAAATTACTTTGTTAATCATAACTGCTCGTCACAGAGTACTGTACGTTTAACCCTAATGGTTGTCTGATATCAACAGAAAATTTGTTGCATTAATCTTTGATTAATGCAGATACACACAGCATTGCACGATACAGAATAACTTTGTTTTTCCTGCACGTTCGTTTTTATTTCACTTCCACAGATATAACTAACCGAAATAAATGTGCACAGGTGCATTGGAAACTAATATGTACACACACAAACACATGATGGCTGTGTCCAGAGACGTCAACACCATGTACATTGTTGGTGTAACAAGTCTTTGTTAAGTTATTCTGACCAGTCTACAGAAAGTAATCCTGTATTGAAATACTAATTCCGGAATACACAACTTATTGTGTCACGGCATACTATATACATACACACACGTACTTAGGTTATTGTACCTATAAAAATTGGGTGTTTTACGCCTAGTGCTCTTCTGTAAAGAAAAACCACTTTTTTATATTCCAAACACATTCAATTAAATTATTTAATATCTTCCACTAGGTGGTGCGAACAAGTACGTGAAGCGGCTTCCGGTTAAAGTTTCTCATGGGTCGTTCTGAATGTTGTATGTGATCAGCTGCTATTCGAGTCACTGAATCCGAAAGCTAGAATATCCTATTCTTTCATTTCGAACCCGGATCACCAGTTCTGAAATACGGATCGTTATTACAGGGCCAACCCGTGTCCTGTGGCAACACAGGACTTTAGAACTATTTAACTCATTCTCACATCTGTCTACATATTACAAATGTACTTATTAATCTGTCCACTTAGCTATGTATTTTCTATATTGAAATTAGTCATCTATGTTTATAACCCAAAACGGATACCGTTAAGAAAAATTAATGTATCCAATTATACGGTTAAGCCACTTGTAACCCAGTTTTTAGTTTCATGTTACACCAATAATTAAACAGTAACGTAATGAAAGCAAGGACATTTTACAAGCAGTCATAACCTATGTCAGTAGAAGGATCTGGCGGTAAAAAAAACTTGTGTTGTTCCAGATTGTACAACGAGCAGTGAAATCAAAATACTCCTGTTTGATGTATGTGTAACATGAGATGTAACAATTTTTCTCTGATACCTGATCAATAGAAGGTGCTGTACATAAAATCATACTATTCAGCGACTGACTATAAACGACAGTCTCTATTTAAGAATTACCCTGTAACTGATTCGGTTTGGTTGTCACCTACACGATCTTACAGTATCCGATTTTGTGTTCGTGTGTGCGTATATTAAAAGCCATGTACAGCAATGCGAGTTCGTGAATTAATTACACATAACTATATAAGCAAGCAAACAGGACAGAATCGTGTAATATGCTTAAATGTTTTATTACAAGTTTCTTGAAACGCGTTGTCAAGGGCCGGCAATTTTTTACGTTGCGTTCTGCTAAACTGCGTAACCATCCAACAGACCAAGAAACGAAACTTCGGCACTAATTAAGAAAGGCGAAGAGATGACGCTTGAAAAGATGACTTACTGGAAAAGCAAAAACAGTCGATTGTCTTGCAGTGAGACGGCAAAGTAGGTGTTTACTGACAATGATGCCTCGTGTGATAAGTTTGTAATGTACGATTCCGAACAATATTTTTCTTTTTGGTATCTCCAACCTGTTCTCTGCTCTGTTTCTGTTTTGTTTTTTTCCCATTGTAGTTAGTTTTCTTACTAACAAGCTTTATCAAACACAAAACGAAAAATAGTTTTACAAGATATTTAATTGCAGTTCGAACATTTTGAATTTTCAGCGTTTTTATTTAATGCTACAAAAAAGATGCGTTACATTAACTGACATGAACGTAATGGTTTGCCGGAAAATAACAAAAAAGTATCAGTAAATTTCTTTTTAAAAATGCTTTGAGATATGAACAGAAACGACTAAGTGTACTTAAAAACCCTGATCTCCCTATGCCAACTTTAGCATAATAATAATATAAAAAAAGGTTGTACCTCTTACGTCACTGAATATAAATAAACACGCATCTGACATTTTGCGAGTGTTTTAAAGCAGTCCCTCTAATAAAGCATATTTTTGTGTTACGTCACAATGCACAACACATACTTATACTAGTTAGCTTCAACAGATTAAATTCGTGATTTTTTTTCTTTGAGATACGTGTTTTACAAATAACACTTTAAACAATGGTCTCATTTCACTATAGCTCCTATACGGTGTCTCAGAATGTTTTTTTACATCACACGAACACTTAACCAGTGACTGTATCTCAAAATAACGCTAGTACAGCATAAACATGATTTCACTTGGTTTGTTTCATAGAAACAGGAATGTTATGTTGTTTGTTATCCCAAGTTTACTGTAATACATGGACTTGATATTTAGCACTGCGTGGACCATGGTTTGTATTTCACACAATGCCAACTTCAAATAATAATAGTTTTACACCGCTTATAATGTGACACGTGAAACAGTAATATTTACTTTAACACACTATGACACTTTACAGTAGTTTTATTTCACATTTAACTACTAGTAAGGCATCTCATACTGCATAAAATTTCAATGGTTTCATTTCACACTAGCTCTTCTACGACACTTCAGACAATAGTTTCATTTTACACTAGTCCTACAACTACACTTCAGACAACGATTTCGCTTTCCCGTAGTTTGGCATCTCAGACAACCATTCTATTTCACGCTAACTCTACTGTAATGTAAAGCAGTTTGAATTTCGTAATAATTTACAACAAATTGTTAAAAATGGTATTTAGCATTATTTTAACTATGACTAAAAATAATGCCATTTTATTCAAATCGATTATTTTGTTATTCTGTGATCTATATTACATGAGGGTTATCTCAAGAATTGAAGAAACGAACCTCTGAAGGTATTGAACATTCTCAAGCGTTAATGTTCTTTAAGAAGGAAACAGATGACCGAAGCTAGAGCGATTTAAACTGTAATCTAACTTTAAGGATATAGCTACTTCCAAACGAGGAAACTGATTGAAGTATTTATATGGAACTACTATAACTAGGAGATCTACTTGATTTCAGTTACCGTGATACAGAAGATGAAAATCACTGTAAGACGCAGTAGTGTATAAACAAACTCTTATCAGTGTTAAACAATATAACCCGTTCAGGATATCAATACATTTGTAATAAATGTTATTATCTTTCTTCGGGTTTTGATAACTGTTTAGAGAACTTAGAAAAGGACCTGTCGAAGCTATTAAAATGAGACACATTGCAAAAAATACATTTCTCTACGATGAATTGTATCTGGTTAAGAATAATAAAAAGTTATGTAAGAAAGTCTCGAAACTTACGTTTCGCTTAAGTTTTCTTTGGATTTACCAGATAGCGCGCGATGAAGTTTGGATGCTGCTGTTGATCTGGATCTCACGATGCGTTTCCGCTGTCGACAGAAAAAAGAAGAAGATAACTTCGTGTGTACATTCTGAGAAATGTATTGAAAACATCGTATTAATAACTGCCGAAATTGTTAGCAAAAGAACTACTTAAATAATCGAGGTCACTAAAATTCACTTGGTTCTATTTCAATGAGTTATCGATTAAAAGTAAATGATAATCTGAAAAAAACTTAATACATTCAGTGCCATTTACTATATTGCACTACAATACTGTTCAATATAAGCAATACATGCCCTTTTCCTACGTAAGTACTGATAAATATAAGCAATACATGCCCTTATCCTACGTGAGTACTGATAAATATAAGCAATACATGCCCTTATCCTACGTGAGTACTGATAAATATAAGCAATACATGCCCATATCCTACGTGAGTACTGATAAATATAAGCAATACACGCCCTTATCCTACGTGAGTACTGATAAATATAAGCAGTACATGCCCTTATCCTACGTGAGTACTGATAAATATAAGCAATACACGCCCTTATCCAACGTGAGTACTGATAAATATAAGCAATACATGCCCTTATCCTACGTGAGTACTGATAAATATAAGCAGTACATGCCCTTATCCTACGTGAGTACTGATAACTATAAGCAATACATCATCCTTACGTACTGCTCATTTTTAATGGTCCAGCTACATAATAAAACAACGTTAGGAAAAACACCAATAAAATCTGTTTACGTTTTCGTTTCTATTAATAAACATCTCTACAAGAGATGTTGAACCAGTCCGGACCAGTTACTTGTTCTCAGATGAAATACAAACTAACAAATAAGAAAAAATCAGTGGCTATCTATTCTAAGGTAGGAGTTTAAGTTTGGAATAGTCGCAAATAAGTCACATATATATTTTAAGTTTCTGTTTTCGTGTTAAATTAGCCCTCTACAATAAAAGCCAAAAACATTTAGTGATAGCTCAAATATATTAACAATATCGGTTGTTTGTTTGATTGTTGTTAAGCACAAAGCTATACAATGGGCCATCTGAGCTCTGTCGACCACTTTTAATAATGTAAATTTTAAACTTAGTTAGGCATTCAGGAAACAACTTTTAATAATGTAAATTTTAAACTTAGTTAGGCATTCAGGAAACAACTTTTAATAATGTAAATTTTAAACTTAGTTAGGCATTCAGGAAACAAAAATTATTCCATACAACTCTCAAATGTAATAAGAGACTATATTTAGAACATTAATATTATACGAAACTCAAACGCTTGAACACGTAATAGAATAGATTTGGGGGTTGGGGAGTGGGAGAGTAAATAATTTGAAATTGTTCTAAGTTATATTGTTCATCTCTCTACGTATCTACACAGCGTGGTCAAAAGTAAATAGACACCACCCACCACCTTTTCAGAAAAAAATGAAAATTTTCAGTCATATTCACATGAATTGATATATTTATAATTTAATTAATATCTAGTAGATCTTCCTTTCGCTTCGTGGAGTTCGTTGATCCTTTGGGGCATCGTGAGAATCATCTCGTCAATTTTAAATTTTAGATTGTGGGATTCTCGCCCACTCTTGTTTCAAAACTTGGAGTATATCGCTCTTCGAAGTTGTTTTTGTTGTTGTTGTTTCTTGACTTGCCGGTCGAGTATGGCCCAGAGGTTTTCGATGGGGTTCATATCAGGAGATTGGCTTGACCAGGGCAACTTCTGGATAGCATTTTCTTTCTGCCACTTTTGAGTGTTTCTAGCAGTGTAACACGGTGCTCCATCTTCCTGGAACAACATTGTGTTCTT